AGGAGAAATAAAAAAATACCTGGAGACAAATGAAAATGAAAATACAACATACCAACTCTTATGGGATGCAGTAAAATTGGTACTAAGAGGGAAATTAGAGGTAATACAGGCCTACCTCAACAAACAAGAAAAATCTCAAATAAGTAATCTTAAACTACACCTAAGAAAACTAGGAAAAGAAGAACAAACAAAGCCCAAAGTCAGCAGAAGGAGAGAAACAATAAAAATTATAGCAGAAATAAATGAAAGAGACCAAACAAAACAAAACAAAACAGTAGAAAGGATCAGCCAAACTAAGAGCTGGTTCTTTGAAAAGATGAACAAAATTGACACACCCCTAGCCAGACTCACTAAGAAATAAAGAGAGAAGGCTCAATAAAAGAAATTAGAAATGAAAGAGGAGAAATTACAATGGATACCACAGAAATACAAAGGATTATAAGAGAATACTATGAAAAACTATATGCCAACAAATTGGATAACCTAGAAGAAATGGATAAATTCTCAGACTCATACAACCTCCCAAAACTGAATCAAGAAGAAATAGAGAATCTGAATAAACCAATCACAAGCAAAGAGATTGAGACAGTAATCAAAAACCTCCCCCAAAACAAAAGTACAGGACCAGATGGCTTCTCTGGAGAATTCTACCAAACTTTTGAAGAAGATTTAATACCTATCCTTCTCAAACTATTCCAAAAAATTGAAGAAGATGGAATGCTTCCTAACTCATTCTGTGAGGCCAACATTACCCTGGTACCAGAACCAGACAAGGACAACACAGAGAAGGATAATTACAGGCCAGTACTGCTGATGAACATAGATGCAAAAAATCCTCAACAAAATATTGGCAAATCAAATACAGCAATACATTAAAAGGATCATACACCATGATCAAGTGGGTTTTATACCAGGGACACAGGGATGGTTCAACATCTACAAATCAATCAATGTGATACAACACATTAACAAAATGAGGAATTAAAATCACATGATCATCTCAATAGATGCAGATAAAGCATTTGACAAGATCCAACATCCATTTATGATAAAAACTCTCAATAAAATGGTTATAGAAGGAAAACGCCTCAACATAATAAAGGCCATATATGACAAACCCACAGCAAACATCATACTCCATGGGGAAAAACTGAAAGCCATCCCTCTGAGAACAAGAACAAGACAAAGGTGCCCACTCTCACCACTCTTATTCAACATAGTATTGGAGGTTCTGTTCAGAGCAAGTAGGGAAGAAAAAGAAATGAAATGTAGATAATAACAACAATAAACAAACACATAGAGACAGAGATTGGATTGGTGGTTACCAGAGGGGAAGGGGGGAGGGAGGAGGGCAAAAGGGATAATTCGGCACATGTGGTGTGGTGATGGGTTGTAATTAGTATTTATGTGGTGAACATGATGTAATCTATGCAGAAATAGAAGTATAATGATGTACACCTGAAATTTATACAATGTTATAAACCAATGTTACTGCAATAAACAAAAAATTAGAAAAAAAAGAGAAATGTATCCAAATTGGAAAGGAAGAAGCGAAAGTTCGCTGTTCGCAGACAACATGATTCTATATGTAGAAAACCTTAAAGAATCCACCATAAAACTATTAGAAATAATCAACAACTACAGGGCAGGGCAGCAGAAGGAGGGAAATAATAAAAGTTATAGCAGAAATACATGAAATAGAGACCAAAAAACAGTAGAAAGGATCAGCAAAACTAAGAGCTGGTTTGTGCAGGCACAAAATCAACTTACAAAAATCAGCTGCATTTCTGTACACTAACAATGAACTAGCAGAAAGAGAAGTCAAGAATACAACCCCATTTACAACCACAACAGAAAGAACAAAATATCTAGGACTAAACTTAACCAAAGATGTGAATGACCTATACAATGAAAACCATAAGACATTATTGAAAGAAATTGAAGAAGACATAAAGAAATGGAAAGATATTCCATGCTCATGGATTAGAAGAATAAACATAGTTAAAATGTCCATATTACCTATAGCAATCTACAGATTCAGTGCAATCCCAATCAGAATCTCAATGACATTCTTCAAAGAAATAGAACAAAGAATCCTAAAATTTATGTGAAACAACAAAAGACCCCAAATAGCCAAAGCAATCCTGAGAAAAAAGAACAAAGCTGGAGGCATCACAATCTCTGATTTCAAAATATGCTACACAGCTGTAGCAATCAAAACAGCATGGTACTGGCGCAAACACAGACACAGAGGTCAATGGAACAGAATTGAAAGCCCAGAAATAAAACCACATATCTATGGACAGCTAATCTCCAACAAAGGAGCCAAGAACATACAATGGAGAAAGGAAAGTCTCTTCAATACATGGTGTTGGGAAAACTGGACAGCCACATGCAAAAGAATGAAAGTAGACCCTTACCTTACACCATACACAAAAATTAACTCAAAATGGATTAAAGACTTGCATGTAGGACTTGAAACCGTAAAACTCCTAGAAGAAAATATAGGCAGTACACCCTTTGACATTGGTCTTAGCAGCATCTTTTTGAATACCATGTCTACTCAGGCAAGGGAAACAATAGAAAAGATAAACAAATGGGACTACATCAGACTAAAAATCTTCTGCAAGGCAAAAGAAACCATGAACGAAATGAAAAGAAAAGCCATCAACTGGGAGAAAATATTTGCAAATCACATATCCAACAAGGGGTTAATTTCCAAAATATATAAAGAACTCACACAACTCAACAACAAAAAAAGTGAACAACCTGATCAAAAAATGGGCAGAGGATATCAACAGACATTTTTTCAAAGAAGATATACAGATGGCCAACAGGCACATGAAAAGATGATCACTAATTATTATTATAAACATCACTAATTATTAGGGACATGCAAATCAAAACTACAATGAGATATCACCTCACACCTTCCAGAATGGCTATAATTACCAAGACAAAAAACAAACATTGCAAAGGATGTGGAGAAAAGGGAACCCTCATATACTGCTGGCGAGATTGCAAACTGGCGCAGCCATTATGGAAAACAGTATGGAGGTTTCTCAAAAAATTAAAAATAGAAATACCACACAATCCAGCTAACCCACCTCTTGGTATTTATCCAAAGAACAAGAAATCAAGCATATGAAGAGATTTATGCACCCCTATGTTCATTGCAGCATTATTCACAACAGCCAAGACATGGAAGCAACCCAAGTGTCCACAAACTGATGAACGGATAAAGAAGATGCGGTATATATGTATATAATGAATGAAATACTACTCAGCCAAAGAAAAAGACAAAATTGTCCGATTTGCAACAACATGGATGGACCTTGAGAGTATTATGTTAAGAAAATTAAGCCAGACAGAGAAAGACAAACAGTGTATGATTTCACTCATATGTGGAAGTTAAGCAAACACATGGATAAAGAGAACACATTAGTGGTTACCAGAGAGGAATGGTTTGGGGGGTGGGTGAAAGGGGTAAAGGGGCACATATGTATGGTGACAGATAAAAACTAGGCTATTGGTGGTGAGCACAATGCAGTCTGTAAGAAACTGATGTAAACCAATATAACCTCAATAAAATAATAATTAAAAAAACAAAATGGATGAATTTCACATATATTAAAAGTGTACACATAGTATAATCCCACTTATATGAAATTCAAGAACAAATAAAAGTAATCTATGGGGATAGAGCTAAAAATAGTTGGTACCTTTGGACAAGTATTAACTCGGGGGAGAGGGAGACTGAGAGATCATTTAGGGATGCTGGAATTGTGCTTGTCTGAGTATTGGTTACATAGGTTTATATATTTGTAAAACTGATCTAGCTGAACACTTAAGATTTGTGCATTGTTTTGTAAATTTTCCAGCAGTAAAAAGTTAAAAAGATAAAAAGTCAAAGTGTGTTTCTTGGTAAAACTTTTCAGCATCAATATCTCCAGGGATGAACTTTGTGCTGGAATATTATCTTCATAACTTCTGTCTATGTAGTTAGGTCCCATTGAGTCTTCTCTTAATATTAGGCTGTCTTAAAATGTGGCACTTAAAAACATATCCTTTTATAACATTTGCTCTTCCCTTACATATTAATCTATCCTCCATAATGCTGCTGCTGATTTTTTTGAAAGAAGGAATGAATTTGCATCTCTAGTATTTTACAGTTAATAATTACCAAGGGAATGTAAATTGATGCAGCCAATATGGAAAACAGTATAGAAGTTCCTCATAAATTAAAAATAGAACTACCATATGATCCAGTAATTCCATTTCTGAGTATTTATCTGAAGAAAACAAAACACTAACTTGAAAAGCTATATGCACTCCTGTGTTCATTGCAGTATTATTTACAATAGCCAAGATAATGGAAACAGTCTAAGTGCCCATCGATGGATGAATGGATATAGAAAATGTGGTGTATATATATACATACATACAATGGAATATTATTTAGCCATAAAAGAGAACTAAATCTTGCTATTTGCAACAAAATGGATAGACTCTGAGGATATTATGCTAAGTGAACTAAGTCAGACAGAGAAAGACAAATACTGTGTGATCTCTCTTACACGTGGAATCTAAAAAAAAAGCCAAGCTCATAGATACAGAGAATAGATTGGTGGTCGCCAGAGGCAGGGGGTGGGAGGTAGGTCAAATAAGTGAAGGGCATAAAAAGGTACAAACTTCCAGTTATAAAATAAATAAGTCATGGGGATATAATGTACAGCATGGTGACTACAGTTAATAATACTGTATTACATATTTGAAAGCTGTTAAGAGAGCAGATCTTAAAAGTTCTCATCACAAGAAAAAAGAATTCTCTAACTGTGTATGGTGACGAATGTTAACTAGACTTACTGTGGTGATCATTTTGCAATATATACAAATATAGAATCATTATGTTGTACGCCTAAAACTAATATAATATATGTCAATTATACCGCAATAAATAAAAAGGTAAAAAAAATTAACCATTACCAAATGGAGCTTACCTCACAAAGCACAAACAACAGACTCTTAAACGCAGTTTGGGTGTACGGAACAAATGAATAAGTGATGCTTTGGTCTGGCTGGCATCCAACTCCTCCTTCATGGTGGATTTCACAAACTTCAACAAAAATAACAATAAGCATTTATGAGATGCCAATAAGTACTAGGTATGGTGGTAAGTATTAAAGGATGAGATGGACGTGTTGCTCTCCATCTTCAAGGACGCTTCCATCTAGCGGGAAACATGGGCATTAACCAATCTATTGTGTGTGGAGAATTACAAAAGGCATAGGGAGAAATAGGAACTCAGGAGATTATACAAGATGGAGGCGGGGAGCTTTAAATACCGAGCTGGGGAGAGGAAAAAGCATTGACAAAATGATTTACATTCTAAAATGGAACCAATGAAAAGGTACTTGTTAGGGAGAGGTTTCTTTCCTATCCACAGGACATGAAAGACTTGTCCTACCCTTGTTAGAGGTAGAGTTTGTCCACCTTTCTAAGGCAAAGCCTTTCTTGAAAACTAGGTCCACTTTATGGTTTTGTTCAGAGCAATCTTTTGTAGGCATGCCAGGCATGCTGTCTCCCTTCATGATTGGAGTGTATAATGTTAAAGGCAGAGAAAATAGCAGGGGATATGTTGTCGGAGTATGATCTGCGCCTGGGCCAGATGCTATGAAAGGTGTAGTAGAGTGGTTGGAAAGGAGTTGGTTTTAGTGTTGGACAAACCTGGCTTGGAATTTTTGCCCTGCTTCTTGATAGGTTACTTAGTATCTCAGGGCCTCAGTTTCCTTATCATTTAAAAAATGAAATTAGCACTTTTCTCACAGGGATTATCTAAGGATTGCCTGAAGTCACACATGTAGATATTAAATGTATCCAGCAGAGGAATAGGAGCTTATTATTTTTCAAAATAAATGATTTCTTATACCAAACCTCAGTGATTTAGTGCAGAGGATGGCAGACTTTTCCTGTATAGTTCCAGTAAGTAAATATTTTAGGCTATGCAGGCAATAGTTTCCATCACAATTGCTGGATTATGATACTGTAGCACAAAAGCAGGCATAGACAATACATGAACAAATGGGTTTGGCTATGTTCCAATAAATTTTACTTACAAAAAAAGGTGTTAGTTTGGATTTGGTCCACAGGTTGAAGTTTGCTAATCCCTGATTTAGTGGATGCTGTTGTATGATGCTAAGATTTCCCATTCAGGACTAAGGCACTCACTTCTCCAACTTCTAGGAATGTTGATGGCTGATGTCTCTCAGTTGTGGCCCTCTCTGGGAACTGCCCTTAGATGAAGATATCCTCTTCACCCAGGCCACACCTCTGTCCTCATCCAATGGCTGGCAAATTCAGGCACATGAAAGCCAGGCCTCCTTACCTTGAGGCAGAGAAAATCTGATGGGCTATCCCAGCCCCAGAGCTCCTTCCAGGATCATCTGGGGCCTCTGTTGCAATTGCATTGGATTTTGACTTCTCTTTTTTGTCCATTCCTGTGCTCTCACTCATCACAGATATTGTTCCTGACAGCACTCCCCAATAAACCTCCTGTATACAAATCTCAGATTTCCCAGTTCCTGAGGAACTGGACCTTAGCTCCACTGTTACTGGCTGGGAGTGATCAAATAAGTCAATGCTACAATGAGAATTTAGAACTAGATCATCCAATGAATATGCTATAACTAGTGGTAGTTGGAGCATACAGTTGTGATATGATTACTAAAAATTTCACTGGTGGTGAACAGGTGGAAGAGAATGGTGGAATACTGGTGGAAGAGAATGCACTGGCATGTGTGTGATTCATGATGTTGAGGATTTAAAGAAAAATAATAATTAATAGGACTTTGGAATTGGATGGCTGTTGTGAGGGGCCATCAATGCATTTAAGAGAGACAATGAAAGACTGATGGTGATTGGCTACCGATATACAGTGAAACGTAAAACCCAGAGGATGCATATAAAGAGACCCTCATCTCCCACAGGTGGGGGTAGAAAACACCAAAGATCAAGCCCCAGGATTTATTTTAAGAGTAGCTTTAGGGAAGCTGAAAATCTGAAACTTGGCTGGTTTCCTTTGCCAAGGTCATGGCCCCAACTGAGAGGAAGTAGGACTCTAATATTGGGATGGGTATATCTGAGTTGAGGCATTTGATCTTTTTGAAATCCTCACATTCCCTTGTATTTCTTGGTCTGAAAAGTAGACCATTCCTCCCTGTTAAAAGCTAGTGGGGCTGGCCCTGTGGCTTGGTGGTTAAGTGCGCGCGCTGCGATGCTGGTGGCCCGGGTTCGGATCCCGGGTGCGCATCGAGGCACCACTTCTCCGTTCATCCTGAGGCCGAGTCCCACATACAGCAACTAGAAGGATGTGCAGCTACGACACACAACTATCCAATGGGGCTTTGGGGGGGAAAAAAAAAAAGCTAGTGCTTCTGCATTGCTTTAAAATGCTGCAGAGGTTTATGCTTTGCAAATAAATAGATGCCCCCCACTCCCATGATCTGTCACCATTTGTTTCCTACCAGACTAATAACTAGATTTAAGAAAAAATATAATCTTGCTTGGGAAGTGTTTAGTCTGTTAAAGTAGGAAAGGGGCCTGTATGCACAAAGTACTTAAATAGGAAGCTAATATATCCCAGCAGGAGAGTATATATGGGTTTAGATTCTAAGGGTCCCAGATCAAGGTGAACAGAATATAAAGTTGAATAAAGGAGTTTTTTTTTCATAGGAAAGCTATGGTTGGCAGCTTTGAAAGATGGTCCTCGCTGATCCTCACCTCTGGTATTTATACTCCTATGTAATCCCCTCCTCTTGAGTATGGGTTGGATATAGTGACTTGCTTCTAATAAATAGAATACAACAGAAATGATGCACTGCCACTCCCATGAGTAGGTTATGAAAAACTGTGATCTCTGTCTTGCTAGATCCCCTGTATTGCCTTCTTGGTCTATACACTTTAAAGAAACACCTGTTTTGTTGGAGAGACACATATGAGCAACAGTCTAAGAGGAACTGCATCTTTTACAACAATCACATGAGTGAGCTTTAAACTAAATCCTTCCCCAGTGGAATCTTCAGATGATATCACAGCCCCAGCAAAGACCTTGATTGCAAACTGTGAGAGACCCTCAAGCAGAAAACCCAGCTAATCCCTACCCAGATTCCTGTTTTAAGTCACTAAACTTTGAGGTAATTTGTTCCATAGCAAACAATTACTAATTCTAATGTTGGTACTAGGAATGGAGTGCTACTCTAACAAATGGCTAAAAATTTGAGAGTGGATTTTGAACTGAGCAGTGGATGGAGGCTGGGAGGGTTTTTGAGAACTGTGTTCGAGAAAGCCTATATTGCTTTGTAAGATAGTTAAAAAAATCTGTACTTCGAGCAGGGTGTTTTAAGGGCCCAGTAGTAAGCGATAAACTTGTTATTAAAAACTGGAGGGCATGGAATTCTTGCTACATAGCAGCAGAAATTTAACAACATCATCATCTGCAGTTCTGTGGAAAACGGGCCTGTACTTGATGAACTTGATTTTCTAGCTAAGGAGATTTCCAATCAAAGTATTGAAGTTACCTCTTGATTTCTTCTTGATGTTAATAATAAAATGCAAGAGAAGAAAAATAAATTGAGGAAAAACTTTTAAACAAAAAGGAACTAGGACTTGATGGTTTTGAATATTCTCAGCCTCTCCAAATGGCAAATGATACTTAGGTTAAGAAGTGGCTTTGGAGCACTGTCAGTAAAACAGGGCCTAGAGATAAAGCTTGGTCTAGAGATCAAGTCCAGCACGTGACTGTGTAACTCTTCTCAAGATCACAGAAAGATCAAAGGGCCAGTGTATTATTCAGAAACAAAAAGGGCCCTTTAAAGAGATTAAGGATGTGCCTCTCAACCAAACAATAGGGCCTCTAGGATACTGAGGTGCATTGTCTCTCAGCCATCTCAGCAGGAGCCCAAGGTAGAGAAGGGCTTATGTCAAGGATATTTGTTGGTGGAGGTTTTGTCTAATAAAATAAACCTCAATGAGATTCACAGGAGGTCCACAACGTTTTTGAGAAATCTTTATCAGAAAAAGAAACTGCCAAGTTGACCGAAAAGGACAGAGTATATAAGGATAAAGGCCATGGAGTCCCCATTATTCAACTGGTGGGAAGCTGGCTGAGAATACTATTCAGCTGCAAATGTGTTCTATCTTTCATGAAAGAGCAAAGAAAACTCAGGGTTTGGATTCAAGAGCAAAGAGGGTGGATCTGAGAGCGAATTGCTTTCTATTTTTTATGAAATGGAAGCATCTCCATGCCTTAAGACTTAAGTAATTTCTTTTTTTTTTTTCACATTTTATTTTATTTTATTTATTTATTTTTTAATTTTTTGTTTATTGCAGTAACATTGGTTTATAACATTGCAAAAATTTCAGGTGTACATCATTGTACTTCTATTTCTGCATGGACTACATCATGTTCACCACCAAAATACTAATTACAACCCATCACCACACACATGTACTGAATTATCCCTTTCACCCTCCTCCCTCCCCCCTTCCCCTCTGGTAACCACCAATCCAATCTCTGTCCCTATGTGTTTGTTTATTGTTGTTATTATCTACTACTTAATGAAGGAAATCATACGGTATTTGGCCTTCTCCCTCTGACTTATTTCACTTTGCATTATACCCTCAATGTCCATCCATGTTGTCACAAATGGCTGGATTTCGTCGTTTCTTATGGCTGAGTAGTATTCCATTGTGTATATATACCACAGCTTCTTTATCCATTCGTCCCTTGATGGGCACTTAGGTTGCTTCCAAGTCTTGGCGATCGTGAATAAGGCTGCAATGAACACAGAGGTGCATGTACCATTGCAAATTGGTGTTTTCAAGTTCTTTGGATAAATACCCAACAGTGGAATAGCTGGATCATATGGTAGTTCTATCGTTGATTTTTTGAGGAATCTCCATACTGTTTTCCATAGTGGCTGCACCAGTTTGCACTCCCACCAGCAGTGTATGAGAGTTCCCTTCTCTCCACATCCTCTCCAACACATGTTGTTTCCTGAAGACTTAAGTAATTTCTAACATTTGCTTAGCTGGATTTCAGAATATCCCTGGACTAGTTTGTGTCACACATTTCCCCTATTTTTGAAGAAGGTATACAGTAGTTATCCCATGCTTGTATCATCATTGTATGTGTTGGGGACAGGTGTCTTGTCTCTTTAGTTTCACAGATCTATAAATAAAAGGTGCTATAGTTAAAGAGCTACGTATAAAGAGTCTCCTGCACACTTGGACCACAATTAAATGTTAAAATTCTGGACTTAGAGCATATGCTATAATGCAATAAGACTTTTGGGGACATCAGGCAGGTGTCGATTTATTTTGCATATGAGAAATGGAATCATTTGGAGCCAGAAGGTAGAAACTTTTGGTTTGTCTTTACTAACATTTTCTTCCAAAGGCCACTGTCTCTCCTGCTGGGCTGATATGGGCTTCTGTCAGTTGTACCTCTACCAACCAGTTCATGTGATGCCTGAAAAATGCCTTTCCTCCTTTTTACCAGCTAGCTCCTAATCCTTTCCTGGCCCACTAAAGCTAGAGTAGATACTTTTTCTATCTTCTCTCAACAACACTGTGCATACAACTTTGTCAGAGCACCTATTGTATATTATGATTTCTTAATTTTTGTGTCTCACAGTAAAATGTAAGTTTCGTGAGGGCAGAGTCTCTGATTTATTTCCTTGTTGATACCTAGCACCATGTTGGTACACTGTAGGTACATAAGTATTTTTAAATGAGTAAGAAAGTGCTTGAATGAGCCGTGTCAGAAGCTGGCTTCCAGCATGAGGAGAGAAACTTCAAAAAAATAAAGACTTCTCAGAAGCTTTCCTACTCAGGCACAATCTTGGTACTCTCTAATGAAGAGATTGTAAATACCAAAAGCAAAAGGACTTTTATCTATTTCACTGCCATATCCACACTGTGTAGAACAGTATTTGGCTTATATTTGTTGCTCAATAAATATTTATTGAATTATTGAATAAAGGCATGAAAGTTAAAATATTATGCTTTAATGCTATCTTCTGCATGGTGAATTAACTTCCTTTTATTGACTTTCTTTTTTTTTTTTTTTAGTGTGTATTGATGTGAGTTTTACTTTTTTTATTATTATTTTTTTAATTTTTTGTTTATTGCAGTAACATTGGTTTATAACATTGTATAAATTTCAGGTGTACATCATTATACTTCTATTTCTGCACAGATTACATCATGTTCACCACCCAAATACTAGTTACAACCCATCACCACACACATGTGCCAAATTATCCCTTTTGCCCTTCTCCCTCCCCCATTCTTATTTCCCCTAAAGGAGACCATGAGTTAGTGAAATAGTGAGAAATGAATTATGTTTGATTGCTTTCCCTTACATGAATAGGGTAAGAGCAACTGCCTGTTATTTACCAATAAGTGCACTTCTGCTGCCAGGGACTTGCAATATCTGTGTCCAAATCCATGAGAAAGGTGAGATAAGTTTTTTTTCAATGCCCCTCCCTCTGCAATGGTGAATCCATAGGGAACCAGGAGAGAGTTTAAGACCCATTCACAGCATTCTAGTTCTGGCTTGGTAGTCACCACAGGAACCCAGACTAGCGTGATTGTCAGATCGTATCTTCATTTCACCCCAATAACCAGATCCCTTTCCAGGTTACCTCAATGGTCAGGGCCTCTCCAGCATCCTTTTTTCCATTTATATCTGCAACTCTCCTAAGCTCCTTTAAGCCCTCATCTAGCTGATGGGTAACAATCAGCCACTGTGCAGACTCCACCAGCCACCTGATGAAAAAAGACAACATAAGTGCAGTAATTATTCAATTGCTTATCTTTCACATGACCTTTAACCTGAGATTCCTTTCCCCTTCCATTTAATACAGACCAATGCTTGAGTTTTACTCTTCAATGGAAACTCATGTTTTCATTAGGAAAAGCAAATAATCACAGGACAACATCAGGAGACATCCTCAGGCAGTGTACGGGGCGTGATTAGGAATGTGGCTGTGGAGTCAGGGTCAGAGCAGCTCCACCACTTACCCCATTTAGATTTATCAAAAAGCACATGAAGGTGGATTTGGAACATCTCTCATGTTTGTAGGCCCCTTTCAAGGGGAGAGGAGCCATAGTAAATTTGTATTCATAATTTGTATTATTTTTCTTAAAGAAGGGCCTCCAAGTTATGTAAGTGTCTGTCCTACAAACTTTGAACTTCTGTTTCTGCCGTGTATTTTGGAAACTCCCTACATGAGCAAGTTACTTATCCTGTGTCTGCCTCAGATTTATCAGCTGGAAAACAGAGACAGAAGTGTCATATACCTTTAGAATTCTTATGAGGACAAAATGAGATAATGGATAAACCTGACATGGAATATACTCTCCTCTTTAACTCATCTTACTGTATTAAATCTTTAGCCATTTCCCTGTTGTAGAGTCATGTCTAACCAAATATGCCTCCTCCACTGGGCTGGTCATCCTAAGGAGAAGGATGTATTTGGCCATCAATAAGTGTTTGTTAAAGGAATTATAGAGAACATTGAGTAATGAACAAATGGTATAAATCATCCATTTGCATTCCAGTTTTTGATTATTGATATAAAATTCACATACCATAAATTAATCATTTTAAAGTGCACAATTCAGTAGTTTTTAGTATAATTACAAAGTTCTGCAACCATCAGCAGTGCCTAATTCTAGAACATTTTTATCATCCCCTCAAAAACCCCTCTATACTTGTTAGCATTCACTCCTCATTCCTTCTTTCCCCCAGCCCATGGCAACCATTTATCTACTTTCTTTCTCTATGAATTTTCCTATTATGAATACTTCATAAAAGTGGAATCATTCAATATATGATCTTTTGTAGCTGTATTCTTTCACTGAAAATAATGTTTTCAAGGTTCATCCATGTGGTTGTATGTATTAGTATTTCATTACTTTTTATAGTTGAGTAACATTCCAACATTTTGCTTACCCATTTGTCAGTTGATTGACATTTTTGGGTTGTTTCCACTTTTTGGTAATTATGAATAATGCTGTTATAAACATTCAATAATTTTTTGTGTTTGAACACCGTTTTTAACTCTTTGGCTGTAAGAGTAGAATTGTTGGGTCTTATGGTAACTATGTTTCAGTTTCTGAGGCACTGTGAAACTATTTCCCAATCATTTTGTATTCTTAACAGAAAAGTATGAGGTTCCAATTTCTTCACATCTTCACCAACGCGTGTTATTTTCTAATAGCCAGTCAAGCGGATATGAAGTGATATCTCATTGTAGCTTTGATTTACATTTCCCTAATGACTGTTGATGTTGATCAACTTTTCATGTGATTATTAGCCTTTTATATATCTTCTTTGGAGAAATGTCATTCATATCATTTGCACATTTTTAATCTGGTTATTTGATTTTTAGTGTTGGCTTGTAAGTTTTCATAATGTATTCCAAATACAAGTCCCTTATCTGATATCTGCTGATGGGAATGCAAACCGGTGCAGCCACTATGGAAAACAGTATGGAGAGTTTTCAAAAAAACTAAAAATAGAAATGCTGGGCCGGCACGTGGCCTAGCGGTTAAGTGCGCACGCTCCGCTGCTGGCAGCCTGGGTTCAGATCCCAGGCGCGCACTGACGCACCACTTCTCCGGCCATGCTGAGGCCGTGTCCCACATACAGCAACTAGAAGGATGTGCAGCTATGATGTACAACAATCTACTGGGGCTTTGGGGGGAAAAAATAAAATCTTAAAAAAAAAAGAAATGCTGTATGATCCAGCTATTCCACTACTCGGTATTTATCCAAAGAACATGAAATCAATAATTCAAAAAGATATATGCACCCCTATGTACAATCACAGCATCACTCACAATAGCCAAGATGTGGAAGCAACTCAAGTGCCTATCAATGGATGAATGGATAAAGAAGATGTGGCATATATATATATACACATATATACAGACACACACAATGGAATACTACTCAGCCATAAAAAAGACAAAATTGCACCATTTGTGACAACATGGTTGGACTGTTAGGATATTATGCTAAGAAAAATAAGTCAGATAGAGAAAGAGAAATGCTGTATGATTTCCCTCATGTGTGGAAGATAAACAAACACATAGGTAAGGAGAACAGATTAGTGGTTACCAGAGGAGAAGGGAGAAGGGGAAGGGTGAAAGGGGTAAAGAGGCACATATGTATGGCGACAGACGAAAACTAGACTATTGGTGGTGAACATGATGCAATCTATACAGAAATATAGAAATTAAATATAATAATGCACACCTGAAATTTATACAATGGTATAAGCCAATATGACCTCAACAAAACAATTAAAAAACTGTTTTCAGGGCTTTCAAACTTTAAAACAAACAAACAAAAATTTTCTCTTTTTACTTTTAAATGAAAATTAAATGTAATTTACACACCAAAATTATTGTATTAAAGTTCTGTATTTTTTATTGTATTTACCTTTCCAGTGAGTTTTATACTTTCCAATGCTTCTGTGTTGCTGTTTAGTGCTGTTTTATTTCAAGTAGTAGAAGGTATCTTTAGCCTTTCTTTTAAGGCAGGTGTAGTGGTGATGAACTCCTTCAGCTTTTGCTGGTCTGGGAGAGTTTCTATTTTTCTGATTCTTGAAGGACAGTTTTGCTGGGTATGTTACTTTTGGTTGGCAGTTTTTTTCGCTTCAGCATTTTGATTATATCATTCCACTCCCTTCTGGCCTCCAAGATTTCTGCTGAGATATCTGTGTATAGGCTTATTGAGGCTTCTTTGTATGTGATGAGACACTTTTTTCTTGCTGTTTTCAAAATTGCCTCTTTGTGTTTGACTTTTGATAATTTGATTACAATGTGTCTCTGTGTAGACTTGTTTGGATTTTTAATATTTGGGATCCTTTTGGCCTCATGATCTGGATGTCCATTTCCCTCCCTGATTTGTGAAATTTTCAGTTATTATTTCTTTAAATAAGTTTTCTGTTTTTTTCTCTCTCTTCTCCTTCTGAGGTTCCCACAATCCATATATTGGTTCATTTGATGATGTCCCATAGTCCACTAGGCATTTTTCACTCTTTTTCATTCCTTTTTCTTTTTGATCCTCTCACTGGATAGTTTCAAGTAGCTTGTGTTTGAGTTTGCCAATTTTTTCTTCCAATTTGTCATGTTTGCTCTTGAAGCTCTTCGAATTTTTCATTTCAGTTATTGTACTTTTCAGCACCAGAATTTCTGTTTGGTTCTTTTGTTTTGTTTTGTATTTCTTTGTTGATAGTCTGGTTTTGTTCATGTATTGTTTGCCTGATTTCATTTAGTTGTCTATATGTAACAGGAAATCTTTACTCATTAAGCTCCATTAGGAGGATTATTTTGAACTGTTATATAGGAAATTCATAGATTTAAACTTCTTTAGGTTCAGTTACTGTAGTTTTTTTTTATTCCTTTGATTGTGTCTTATTTCCATTATTCTTTGTATTCCTTGGAGTTTTGCATTGAAGAAAGAGCCGTCTATCTCAGTCTGTATGGACTGACTTTGACAAGGAAATATCTTTACTAATCAGCCTGGCTAGAAATTCTGGGAGACTCTTAAACATTTTCTATGGATGTGCATGCTCCATCTTTTACCTTCCCCCCATGGGAAATGCCTCAGGATTATGCGCCTTCTCTCAATATCTCAGTGCTGTGGCAGCAGCAATAATCCACCACTTTTCTTTGTTCTTATCTGCCCCTAGGTGTCTGAACTATGCTGTTTCTGTCAGTGCCCATGTGAGGTTAGCCAGTTCCCTGAAAGGTGCAGGGTGTTGGATGCACACTCCCATTTCTCTTTCCCCTGAGGGAGAAATCACAGGCTGAGGTGTTCTCTCTCAGTGCTGAGCCATGTTGGCTTTGGGTGAGTGTGGATGCCAGTAAAGTGAAATTGTCCTTCTTACCTGTTTCATTGTGGCTGTTCTCAGTTTTGTGCTCATCTGGGGTACTAAAAACTCTCAACTGGATTCTGGACCTCTCATAAAGGTCTTTTGGCCCATATATTGCTGTTAAATTGGAATTTCTCTTGGGGAGATCAAGGGCTGGGTCTTCCTATCCCGCCACCTTACTGAAATCTCTCAGTCGTTATTTCTTCAAATATATTTCTAACCTTTTCTCTGCCCTCTCCTTCTGGGACTTCCATTATGCATACGTCAGTACACCTGATTGAGTCCCACAGGTATCTGAGGTTCTGTTCATTTTCTTCCTTTTTCTTAGTTCTTTGAACTGGATTATCTCAACTGACCTCTCTTTAAATTTATTGCTTATTTTCTGCTTGCTCATATCTGCTGATGAGACCCTCTAGTGAATTTTATACTTCAGTTATTGTACATCTCAACTCCAGAATTTCAATTGTTCCTTTTTATAATTTCCAACTTCCCTCATATTGTGTTTGATGAGACATACTTCTCATACTTCCCTTTAGTTCTTTAAGTTTTGTTAATATTTTATTTTAAGTCTTCAGATTATTTAATATAGCAGGTTTAAGCCTTTGTCTAATAAGCCAACATCTAGGTTTTCTCCTGTACAGTTTATGTTGATTGCTTTTCTTTTTCCTGTGAAAGAATTACACTTTCTTGTTTCTTTGCATGGCTCAGAACTTTTGTTGAAAACTGGATCTTTTAAAGAATATGATGTGGCAACTCTGGAAATCAGATTCTTCCCCCTTTTTCAGTGTTTGTTATTGTTGCCGCTGCTTGTTGTAGTTTGTTTAATGACCTTTTGTGAAAAATTGTGTAAAATCTGTATCCTTTTTCATGTATGGCCACCGAAGTCAGCACTTGGTTAGCTTAGTGGTCAGCTAATGAATTAGTGACCTGCAACCAATAAAGGTCTCAGACTTTCCTGAGAGGCTCTGAACACATGTTGGGGCATGCCTTCAACACTCAGCCAGGCATCTGGTCCCTGACTTTGCCTTCACTTACTGCTTGTACAGAGCCTCCAGGTCATCCAGAGGAGAGAGCTTAGGGCATTCCCTAGACTTTCATGCTCACAGCCCTACACATGCACATGACCTTCTAGACTCCAAGGAATAGTTGGAGTTTTCAAAGCCACTATAGATATTTTGTTCCTCTTCTCATTTTAACTTTTTTGTTAGTTTGTTGTTTCCCTAATTGTATCCATCAACTCAGCTGTCCTGTGACCTCAAAGCACTTGCCAGTACATATTCACAGCAAATGCCCCGTGGAGAGAGGCCTTTCCTGTTGGTCAAATACAGACTGCTTTCCAAATAGGATCTTAGAGAAACCAGCAGGCAGGTCAAATAGTGACAGTTCTTTGTGAATGAAGCTTTGAAATAACTCAAGCTTTGTTCTTCTCTCTCTTTTACTAAGAATGTAAGTCATCATTTTTCAAGGTTGCAGCGTAGCTGGGGAGTAGGAAATGGGACTAGGATATGTTAAAACATTTTAACACTCGCAATTCTTACTGGAATTTATCCACTTTTCTTGAACAAAAGATTCCATGATTTCCTACAAATCTTTAGTTCATTTCCACAGTTCTGACAATGTTTATTCTGACAAATTTTGCCAGTTGTTTTTCCCTATTATGGAGCAACTGATTTTTGGAGGTCCTTATTCTGTCATTTTTGCAGAAATTACCCCCATGCCAATTCTTAGTGCTAGAGAAAATATGCTCTTCTAATTTCAAATATTTATGAAGATAAATTTGTTGTCTTTTACTTTTCTCCAGTATTCCTTACAACGACAAAAGCCCTCAAATCATTTCAATTGCACAATGCTTTCCAAAGTTAAGAAAATAGTATATTTGCTTCATAAATAAGTATGTTATTTTCTATTAATAAAAATGATTTCATGATAATTCTGTGTCTACTATGTAACAATGATGACCAAAAAATGCCAACCGCCTAGGTAGCATGTCATTACATTCCTTTTTTTCCCCCTCAAGTGTCACAGTGGGTACTAATGAAGACCATAGCTCAGGACCGGGCCTGGGAACAAACAGATCCCAAGTGTCAGAATTCTCCTCTCTGTTCTAACCACAGCATCCATTACAGGCAATTAATATGGAGATCGTCCATACCTGGTGAACAAGAAGATGACGAAAAAGGGTATAGACATTGTCAGTTGCAGTGTGCGCCAGTCTCGAATGGCAAAAGCCAGTCCTCCCAGGAGTGTCTGTCCAACACTGCAGAAATTTATTATTATCCCTGCCATCAAAGCTATTGATTTGGGCCCTGTCCACTCTGACACTGGAAGAAAACACGGACAATAATTCTAATTTCAGACAAAGGGCAATTTCAAGGTCAACTAAAGGCATGGAGAGAACAAAAGCTCAAAATTCTGACTTACTGATAATGAAACAGTTTGCCACAATAGTGATGATACACATCCCTCCCAAGAAGCGTAATGAGCAGTAAACGAGGAAGGTGGGAGCAAAGGTTGCACAGGTGTTAACAACGGCGAACTTGAGCAAACACCATCTGAACACCATTTTCCGTCCAAACCTAAGAAATAGTGAACCAGATGGATTATTCAGGAACAAAGATAATATGTGGAAAACTTGACAAAAGTTGACACATCTTGAAATCTAGAGTAAATGTTTAACAAGTGAAACATTGCACTTGAGACCTGGAAGAGTAATTATATTAGTCAACAGCAGAAATCAGATGTAACCCTCCCTATTTGTCAAAATGAACCGTTGTCAAAGCTCTCTCACCAACCTATCACCAGGAGGCCTCTTGGGCCACGTGACACATATAAAAGAAGAAAAATGGAAAGTTGTCACAAATGTTTATCATAAAATACATGCATTGAGGTTAGTGGATTTGTGTGCTGTGTTTAGAGCACTGAGGAGTGAAATCAAGAGATCTCTACTTGGGTCCACATTATCAAGGTAAAGGCTAAATGTATTTGAGAGGAAGAGTGGGATTACAACACATCAAAATTGCAGAGAGATTGCATAAGAGCCACTCTCAGCTGTGTCTGGGTTTAAAGGCCTTGAGAAATATGTTTCAGCTCAAACAGAAGATAACCCAGCAACCATTGCATTCAGTGCAGGAACTGATAGAAAGTTCATAGGGGAGAGGATGAGATGAGACAGAGAATAAGGAATAAAGAAAGGAAAATAAACAAAAGGAAGGGAATTTTATGTGTCAGAGACTGGAAGGAAGGGGCTCCTTCTGGAGTCAGCTTGAACAAAACTATATGTGCTAATGCTAAATTCCTGGTAGTATTAACATATGGACAAATCTTGGTTTTGGACACCTGCTCTGAAGCATTTGTTACTTTAGTAATAGTATATTTAAGTCATAAGTCTTGTAAAAGATGTTACTTTTGGAGTATTTCTACAACATATATTTCATTACTATATTTGTGTCAGAGAACTCATGATAGAATCAATTGTCTTTTTAAAAGGACAATCAGAACATGGGGACATGAGGACATGATGGAAAGGGAACAATTAGGAAACTGAGAAATGAAAATACAATAAGTATAATGAGAGTCTATATATCCTAAATAAATCCTTACGGTACTGGTGCCAGAGGTTCAGAGGGAGAGATGAATAGTTGGAGCACAGGGCACTTTTAGGGAGATACTCTTCTAATGGTGGACACATGATGTTAGCCACTTGCCCTGAAGATGGTACAACACAAAAGGCGTGCCTTAATGCAAACAATGGATTTATTCAATAAAGTATCAATATTGGTCCATCAATTGAAACAAATGTACCACACAAATGGAAGGCATTAATCACATGGAAAACTGTGTGTGTGAGGGGGTATATGAGAACTGTCTGTACTTTCTACTCAATATTTCTGTAAACCTAAAATTGCTCTAAAAATTAAAGGCTACTAGTAAAAAAAATTGTCATGGTAACGGGAAAACCACTCTGTTTTTCATTTTCAGTACAGTATTCAATAGATTACATGAGAGATATACATGAGGCTTTGCGTTAGATGATTTTGTCCTCCTGTAGGCTGATGTAAGTGTTCTGAGCACATTTAAGGTAGGCTAGGCTAAGCTATGATGTTTGGTAGGTTAGGTGTATTAAATGCATTTTTGACTTAACAATATTTTCAACTTAAGATGGGTTCATTAGGAAGTAACCTCACCATAAGTTGAGGAAGATCTGTACCTGCATACCCAATGATAGTCCATGTTTTATAATAGCATATACAAATAAGAGATAAATAGTAAACACATTAGAATGGTCTCTGGTGAAGCATGGGAATGGAGACAAGTGGAAATACATACAAACAGATGTACATATAAGAAAGAAGCCTTGCCCAAACTAGTGAGGTTACTACATCATGAATGATGAGGATGATTAAATGAACTTTTTTGATTCATTAAAAATACAGTTGGTACAGTCTTACCACCCCTTTCCTTCCTTCAGGGCACACAAACACAATGCTTCCTAAAGCTGATTGTAGTTACCACAGGCCCTATACCTGGGTCAATTGGATGTGGCGAAGAGTGTAATGCCAGTTCCAGGCCTGACCATAAGATGTCCATTGTGGTCTTACACACTCTCACAGATTTTAGAGTCCTACAATGGATAGAGCTGGTTCTGTGAGCCACTGCCTGAAAGATGAATACCCAGGGGGTTCAGTCTACCTTATCTGACTGAAACATCAGTGAGCACTATCCTTTTATGATGGCAACTGATTGACATTTGGGGTAGCATATGGCAGTGCTGTGATGAAAATGCTGTTTGATAAATATAAGTAGAAAAGCTTCATGTGCATTTTTGATTGGAGGAGGAGGAAGTATAGGAGGCAAGGAGAACATCTATGATGAAAAGATGTGTCAGTCTTGATATGATTTAATGATGAGACTTTAGGTTAGGGCAAAAGTGGATGCTACTGAAAAAGAAATGAAGGCACAGACCGATACAGAGTGCATAATGAACAGCTTTGGGTGGATTTTCAATCTGACAAAGAAAGAAGTCAAGCCTGGAAAACTTGAGCAACCAGGGAAGAGAAGGACAGCTCCAGTCATGGTATGTAAAATGGTGATCACCTGGTGAGTTATTGCTTTAGGTGGGGTTGAATCTACTTGATGTGACTGGTATCTAGCTGCATGTCTTTCCTGAGTTACCTTTTCCAACCTCATAACTATAAAAATATTTATACACTAATAAATCCTAAGTTAATATCCAGCCTTGACCTCTTCTGTGACCTTAACATCCATAAGTACACCTGTCTACCTGCATCTCCACATGTACTTTTAGTAGGCAACTCCACGTCAGGAAGTCCAGAGAGATGTGTTGATTTTCTCCCCCAATTTTCTTCCACCCTAGTCCTCTCCCACCTTGTATAATGGTATCAGAATTTACTCATTCATTCAGTCCAAAAGCCTATATTCCCCTTGAAGACATCTATTTCTCTCAGTAGACATCCCCCAATAGTAAAACATAATCTAAACCACCAGCAAGTCTTATTGCCTCTATCTCTAAAACATTTCCCAAATCCAGTTACATCTTATCATCTCTACGGATACCTCTTCAATTTCTACTCCTATCACCTCTCCTCTGGACTATTTCAAAAGCCTCCTAGCTGGACCCTGCTACTCATCAATGTAGAAGTGTGACCTTTAAAAAGCCATGTTATAAATTTTCCCTTAAAAAATAAAGGCTGGGAGGGCCAGCTCCGTGGCTTAGCGGTCAAGTGTGCGTGCTCCGTTGCTGGCGGCCCTGGTTCGGATCCCGGGCGCGCACCGACGCACTGCTTCTCCAGCCATGCTGAGGCTGCGTCCCACATACAGCAACTAGAAGGATGTGCAGCTATGACATACAACTATCTACTGGGGCTTTGGGGGGGGAAATAAAGGCTTGGAAATGGAATGAGAATAACTTGGGTGAGGTATCACTAGATAGAAAGTCAGGGAAGAGCTCTTTGAGGAGGTGATATTGGAACTTGAGAAACTGAAGGTATAGGCTGAGCCATGTGCAGGGAAAGGACTATTTGGAGTAGAAGGAAGAGCAAGTGTAAGGGCTGTGTGGTGGAACCAGCTTGATGTTTTGAAGACTAGAGGGAATGGCAGACAGTGGTAGGAGAAGAAGTAAGAAGGGATGCAAGGGCCAGATCTCATCTGCGCAGGACTTAGATTTTATTCTAAGTACATACAAATATCATTGGAGTGTCACTTGGGTCCTGGGGTAAGAGAGACAGAAAAAAATTCAAGTTTGAGAGTGCACAGATAAGCTCGGTATGTGGATGAAATGTGTCACATTAACAAGAATCAAATATGAGCAGGTGGTGCCTTTTAAAGGAGTGAGCTACCCTTTCTCAAAAGTTTTCCAACAGAAACTAGGTGGTTGTCAAAATTCCAGAGCTGTCTTCATTTGATAGAGAGAAGAACTTGATAATTTCTAAAGTTCTTTTAATATCTTCTAAAGTATCCTTTACTAGTTAAGATCTGATAGGATCATTTGACAAATCTGAGCCCTGGGCATTGAAATCAATCCTCTTACAACTCGTCTTCTGGCTGCCACTATTATCTCCTACGTAACTGTCTTCCCAACCCAACTGTCACATCCCCATCATTCTCACACTTCTTATTAAACTTTTCACTGAAGTTTAAGATACATAAAAAAAGTGCATGTATCCAGTGCATACAAGTTTGTTAATTCTCACAAAATAAATATACCCATTTAGGCAGTTTTAGGTCAAAATAGAACATTGCTATCACACAAGAAGCACATCTTGTGCCTCCTCCTAATCACCACTCCCACCAAAGTTATCCAATATCATGACTTTTAATACCACAGATTAGTTTGCCTCCTTTTGACCTTTGTAAAAATTGGAATCATACAGTACGTGACATACAGTATATGACATGCAGTGTATGACATAATCATACAGCATAAGACATAATCCTTATGTCGTATAATGGTTTTTCCATGTTGTTGCATGAGGCTATTGTTTGTTCTTTCTCATCACTGAATATAAATTTACATGAATCTACCACAATTTACTTTTTCATTCTACTGTGGATATTAACCTGCACCTTTGCTCCAAGAAAGCTTGTTTATACACATTTTTTTCATTAGATTGCTTCATTCATTAATTCGTTATACATTCATTCATTGTGCTATTTGAATTAATGGTATAGAAGCCTGAGTCTGAACACTGAGAGAAACGAACTCTCTGATCCAAAGACCTATATAGATAATATGTAATTGTGACAAACTCAAAGGTCATAATTTTCAGTTGGACTGGGAGTGTCTGGTGACATACAAATCCCCTCAGTACCCTCATGGGAAACCTGCTTGGGTGACAACAACGGTTGACTGCCTCCTTCAGAAGGAGGCCTGCCAGGACACAGGAAGTCCCAAACCTCTCATTCCCCAAGCCAGGTCATCTTAGGTTCTTAGTATGATTTACTTTACATGGTTACAAATGTTACCTATTAAAGCCATTTCGCAAGGATCAGCATCCAGGTTGCAGGTGCAATGTTTTACCATATCATCCTTGCCACATTGCTACGCAAACCACAGATTTGGTAATGATGATTACCCACTGCACATGTGCACGTACATTGCAGGTATGCAATGTTGACCAGTCTAGAAATGTCCATAATCATTTATGTTACAGGGACTAAGTGGTTCTGAGCATTGCCAAGGCCAATAATACTGTTTCCCAAATTTGTACTTTTGAACCTGTAGGTACTTTCTGCCTCAAAACCCCCTCCTTTCCCTGCGTTGAACTAACTCCTAGTTGTAAACCTCAAATCCTGGCATCTGCTCTAAAAATCCCTCCCTGAAATTTCTTTGCATCTGATTTAGATGTTCTTTTCTGCCCTCCTTCAAGCAATACAAGAGCAGGTTTAACACACCAGACTATAACTTCTGTTCATGTATCAAGCACTCTTATTATGTTGTAGCTCCCTAGAGTCAGAGACAGACATCAGCACATAACACAATGCAAAACACACAGTTAGAGCTCAGCAAAGATTTCTAAAATAAAGGATTGAATACAGCAGTTGATAAATAGCCCAGAAGAAAGTGAGACGACACTCACCTGTCTGAAAGATGGCCAAATATCAGAGCTCCCAGCAGCTGGGCAGCCATAAACAGGGATTGAGCCACCGATATTAGTGACTGAGATTCACATACCAGGTCCCACTGGAAGGGAAAGAAAGCAGCACAGCACTTTTAGAAGAGTATAAACCCTTTAGCGGAAACTGACTCCAGACTCCTACACATGATGTGCAGGATCCTCTGCTGTGTGGGTCCTGCCTCCCTCTCCAACCACTCGCCCCTAGCATCTCGCACACTAAAAATACCGAACTTGTGTCAATACTGCAAATGCAGCTGGCTCACTCTCTCTTTGCTTAGATCCTTGGTATCTGTATCTGTACACCTCCGTATCCAAGTGTCTATATATCTTTATTCATTTTCCTCTTAGACCACCAATTGTCTTTATTGCATTAACTTGCACACTTTCTTCAGATATTATCTCAAGCATCATTTTTCCAAGAAATCTTCCTTCATCCGACAGGTAACACAAGGGCTCTGCCTTTGAGTTCACTTAGCAGTCTATATTCAAATTCTACAGTAGCCTTCATGTCTGGTCACACATCAAACCACTCGAAAATCTTCAAAAATACTGATGCCTGGATCCTTTGCTCAGAGGTTCTAATTTTTCAATGAGTGTTGAGAATCACTGACCTAGCATATCAATACTTTTTAAATCATAGGTCTTTCTCACTAGATTAAATGATGTAATAACAGGTTCATGATTAGTTTGTTCAATTCATTAAACTCAATACTAATACTCTTGACTGTCAGAGTATAGACAAGCAATTACTATCTGCTGAAGAAATGAAGAAAAGCCTGATTACAGTATCCACTTGCGAACTAAAAGTATAAAGCAGTTCTATCTGTTGTGTTAGCTCTAAACACTTTGATCATATAAGTAGAAGGCTTAAATGAGACCTCTTACCTCAGTCGCAATGGTGGAGGGAAAGGAGCTTCGGTCATACACCCAGCCATCCACACAGGGCTCCGTGTCTGGCTCACTCATGGTAGGGAAGGTCCCATTCATGTGAAGGAACTCCCACTGGGGATGGAGGAAGCGACGACATTTCTCTGGCTTTGAGTTTGAGTCCAGTGGGATGGAGATCCTCAGGAGGGCATCTTGGCTGAGGATTTCAGTGCCATTAGCTGAGACAGTGTCATTGTCAAGGATGTGGACCCAGCAGCGGTGACCAGGGATGGCTGCAGTGAAGTTCTCCAATAGCATATGAGGGTATACTATAAGGATGCAGACACCAAAGAAAGCAGTCTGAAGGACTTGGAATCTCCCCAGGCTTCCAACTTGATCCAGGAGGTCCTGAAAGGCCATCAAGGCTGCACAAGTGATCCCCAAGAGGAGGCACAATGACTTCACAGAGATAAGTTCAAAGGGAGAAACTATTTCCTTTTACTATGTCAACTAAGTTCATGTTGGTCCAGACATCACTTTCTCCTCAGGGGCCCCACCTCACCACTACAGAAGAGTGGTGGGAAGAGTTTCCCCCAAGTCTTTTGAGGTTAGGAAACTAGATAGTTTCAATAACGTCACAGATATAATTATTTGGCAAAGATACTTTCAGTTGTTGACAACTAAACCTGCTTAAAAGACTACTCAGTGCATGATCCTGACCTTAAAGGCACCTGAGAAGTCAACAGTACTTTAGGCAGAAATATACCCGTTCTCCACACAACCTAAAATACACCTGTTCGATGATCTGCTAGTATTTTCAGAAAAGGAATGTTTGGAGACTCAAAAGTAAACTGCTTTGTTATGTTCTGGTGCAAAGAGCAGAGAACAGGGGTTTATCTTGGTTAGGATTGGTTTTTGATTAAAAGTAAAAGAAAACTATCATTCGTTAAATTAAAGCAAAGTAGAATGCTGTGCATAAACACTAACTTTTGGTAACTGAAGTTCTGCTTCAGTTCAAATCATACCGGTGAGAGTGACATTAAGATTTTTGAAATGAGGAAATTTCGAAGGGAGGAAGGAAATAGTACTTTTCTGTAACGGTTTTTTTTTTCTTTCTTTTTACTATTTTTATTTATTTATTTGTTTATTT